TCTTTAGCTGATTTTTCTTTTGATATAGTTGAATTCTTTATTGTCGGCCTTGCTGTTGTTAGTAATGTGCTCCTCAAACTGTTTCCTTGCTTCTCTGATTACCAGCTTGTATTTCCCTTGTGCAATTTTGTGGTCTCTTCTGCTTTTTTCATTTGGGCAAGTCTTCCATTTTTTGAACAAAGCTTTCTTCTCCCTAATAACTTCCTTGACTCTATGCATCAACAGTGCTGGTGATTTCTTGGTTTTTCTGCTACCTTTCCACATTTGCAGCATTTCTATTATCTGTGCCTCTACTACTGTGTTTTTGAGTAATCTCCATGTGCTCTGAAGTGAGGATCTGAAAAGTTTCAAGTTGCCCTAATTTACTGCAGGCACAATTACAAAGCTCACAGCAAAATTGTGTCAGGAATCTATGATGAAATATGCCATCAGTCATATAATGGGATCGGTAACTGGAAGGGCAAGATTAGGGTGGTTGAGTGATATAGAAAACCATTAAATTATCTTTATAATCAATGATTCCACCATGGAATGGTGGCATATAATAGCATGTTTCATGATATATTTAAGTGCAGACATAAATACGAGGTGGCCAGTTGATTGGCATAACTCCCTTGAGTACGTATGGTGGCAAGAAGTGATAAATATGTTTCAAATTAATAAACACGACATAACTTTTCACTAGCTTCCTTGTTCACACATGCCTATAGCAATCTCTTCTCTGGTTTCTGTAAAGCTGCCTGGACAAGCAGCCAGCAATTTTTACTTGCCTTAGGCAGTTAGGCGGGCAGCTGTCTATAAAGTTTGTCTGCTTAAAAGTTGGCAAGACAAGTGTGAGGAGCAGTTCCCGACATCAGTATTATCAAAGATGGAAAGAGCAACATTTCAATGACTGTAGCTGTTTGTGATGCTTATAACCATACCCTGCATCATTTAATCTTGTAAAGTGCTTTCAAGGTTATAACACAAAAAACATCTCGGACTAGCTGTGTGCTTGTACTAATATACAATAGTTAGTGTTACAGCAGTTATTTAAGTAAATGTCTTAAAATAAATTACAAAAATGGAACAGAAAAGCTATTTCATGATCTATGAATTTAAAAAATCCATACATTTACCAACTCATTTGAACAAGTAGTCTAAGCATTCATGTAACACAAGGAACAGAATCCTACTTAAATTCTTGGACTTTTCCAATACGGCATCCAAAATAAATTTACACACTGACCCCTTGAAAACAACTATAGAAAAGTATGTGATATTCTAATGTTACACACTGGGAGTTATGCTGAAATAAAGAGACGCTGCTGTTTTGCTTGGGTTTCCCCTCCTGGCAGTTGCAATTGCTTAGGGCAGGGAGACATGCAGGTTTTTTGAGTTTGTTTGGCGGCACGCTGCTCACCATTGTGGGTGCCTGCAGGTACCCGCTTGCCGCTCACCACCTGCTGCTGCCGCCCGTGAATGCCTGCTTGCAGCTCTCAAGCTTCTGACATTTACTGTATGTGGCTTTTCTGCTGAGCAAGTCTGGATACCCCTGGCTTAGAAAGCAATGCTGGCACCACCACTGGCTGGGTTCAGACAACATAACTCACACTAAAAGGCTGAGAATTGGTTGAGTGTGGCTTGCTGTTGAATCATCGATTATCTTGTTATCTGTGCTTGCTTTACAAACCACTGTTAGCCAAAAACAACCCAGAGTTCAAAAGCCAACAAGCAGGAGTTGTCTTCATTGTTTGTTTAAGCATGGTTTGTTAGCATGGCTGGGTTCAGACAACACTACAGTCCATATAATAACACCAACCCATACTCAACCCTTGTGTAAGTGTTTGGGTTTTCTGAACCTAGCTACTGTGTTCCTACTAGCCATATACTGGGAGGAACAACTGTAAAGAGAAGCCTGCAGAGTGATCAGGGCTCCTGATCATAGGTGGAGCCTATGGAAACTCCTTTTTACAGAAACAATGAAAGGTCAGGGGACAACCACGTGTCTCTACTGTTCTCCTTCCTTGTGATTACAATGGTATAATAGGGATCAGCCACCAGGACTACTCATCAGCCAGTCTGCAAAGGCAAACAACACTTGGAGAAATTACAGTGGGTGAACTATGCAGGGCAAAGGGAAGAAGACCGAACTCTTCCCTTTCTCCTCACCCTTTCCCCTGCGGCAGCTTCACTGCTTTCTCCAACTAGTGGTTCCTACTGACCTTTCCTTGCTAGAGGCAGATGAACCACAGGTTCATCTTCTTAAAAAAAAAAACAGCTTGACCTCAACGCCCTCCTTACGTTTTAGCTGTCAAAGAAAGTGCATTGGGTATCATAGATTCAAGCTGACAAGGCATGACTCCAATAGGCTCATATGTCTCCAGCTATGCCAGAAAAGGGAGTTATTACCCCCATCCCATCTTTTTGGAGCTCCATTTTAGAGTTTCTGGAGACCTGGAAACATTTCAAAAATGCAGAGGGTACTGAGACCTGCCTGTTCAACACTTGATATCCATTGCTAAGAGGGATATCTTGTCGCCACCCCGTTTTGGCACATCTCCATTTGCTGTCTTTACTGGTGGTTTGCGGAGAGCTCAGCAAATATGCAAAAATGATTCTCATCTTGTCAAGCTCTATCTGTTATCAATTGCACTTTATTTATTTCTACATTTGTATGCCACTCCTACTCTAAGTGGAGTCTCTGGGCAGCTTACCACACTTTAAATTACACAATCATTAAAACAACAGAACTAATAAAATCAATCAATCATACAAACCTACAATAATAAAAACAATCAAACATCATAAAACAACAGTAAATAGGTCATTACAATACATCCACTAAATCCACCTGAGGGGGACAACCATAAGATGATCAGTTATTACAAACGTTAAAATTAGTTGTTAAAATGCCTAGAAGAAAGAAATGTTTGCCTGGCACTGGAAAGAGAGTAATTTTGGTGCCAGGCAAATTTATCTGAGCAGCTTATTTCATAAGAGGGGGGCAGCCAACAAGAAGGACCTTCTTCTATTTGCCATCCCTCTCAGAAGGGCCTCCTGCCCAGATCTTAGTGGTCGGCAGGTATATATATATATATACAGGATATACACTTCAGTCTCCTTCATGGCTGAAACTTACAAGGACATCTAGCAGGCAAATCTACACATATTTCTGACAATATCCATTGCCATGAGATGTAGGGATGGTCAACTACGTTGGTCTTAAAAAGGGAATAGATGCATTCATGAAGGGTAGGTTCTAACCAGCTATTTGTCAGGTTGGCTATGAAACCTTCAGTTTCACAGGCGATACAGCCCTGGCACCAGTTGCTGGAGAGAAACTACTATTGTTTTGCCCTTCCTGGAGCTTTCTAGAAGCACCTGGTTGATCTCTGTAGGAATACACTGTTGAACATTAGAGATCTCTGACTTAAATCAGTAGAACTCTTAAGTTCATTTTTATTTCTAGTCCTGTATCTCAGCCCCATAGATCTCCAGCTTCATGTTTTGGAATAATATGGAGCAAGTTGGGAGACACTTCAAGTTCTAGTGGAGGAAAAACAGGATTCAAGCCAAGTATAAATGAGTATACTAAGGAGCCCATTTCTAGACTTGTGGGGTGGCAGTGATAATAGCAATGTAGACATATTCTTCTATATCTGTTTATCTATATAATTTGCATGTAATGCCTGAACTGCTCCAGATGGTACTTGAATTTGGGGACAGTCTTGTCATTAGGAGTCCTCCTCTAGCAGCAGATGCTGTAAGTAGTAGCAAGGCACTGAAGGACAACCTGAATGTGCCAAGGAGCCTGTTCTGTGTGACCTGAACTTTGTAAACCCAGAGTATGGTCTGAAGGCACGTAGGACACCCACCATGTCGAAGCTAAGCAGGTCTTGGGGTGACCTGAGCAGGGAGACACTGGGGAACCACGTGCAGCCACCTTAAGTTCCACAATGGAAAAAAGTCGAGATACAAATATATTAAATAAATATTATTTATTATTATGTCCTACCCTCAAGAATGGTGGAGGATATATCTAAGCCAGATTCTGTGGATGGAATTGGAGTTTCCAGTGTCCTTTCCTTCATATAGCAAAATGTCTTCAGCCAGTCCTACATAAGTTATTATACCCTAAAAGTTGGTCCACTAGAAAGCCAATTATCTTTGGCTAATTGTCCCTGCTTAGCTCAATTCCCTGCTGCTAAAAGTCATTCAAACTGAATCTCTTGTGAATGCTCCAGGTTACATGGAACAATGCCATCCAGGTATTTTTGAGTACAGGGTCTAGGATTCCTGACCATTGGCCATCACTGGGTGGATGACAGCTGAAGTCAAAAATATCCAGAATGCAACAGGCTGCCAAAGACTGATGTACTGTCAACAGTGATGTCAGAAAACTACCAGTGTAATGGGATTTCCTTTGAAAATTTCTACAGGGTCATGTCTAGAATGTTGGACTTGTCAAACCCAGGTTCAAGTCCCTGCTCAGCTATAAGGGTTGCTGGATGACTTTGGGCAAATAATCATTTCACAAGAACTGCGGGGAGAAACTTGGATGTACAAATGTGAAGCAATATATTAATACTCAGTGGATCGTGTTAGTACTCTGCATACAGCAAAGTTTGAGTAAGGCAGGCAAAGTCTGAGTAAGGTCTCTGGGACCTAGTCCCATCAAGCTGGTTGTTAACTTAACATCCTTTCTGGGGCAGGAACAACATATAAAGACCAGATTTGCACGTAGTAACAACTGGTGGTCATTACATGTGAACTCCGTACTACAGTTTACCTCTGGGTTTCTAAGCATGAATAATCCAACAAGAGAAGCTATTACTTGTTGGGTTCTGAGCCCATACTTAAATCATAGGACAAATTTCACATATAACAGCCCACATGATACAACAATCCACAATTTAACTTCTGTTCAACTGAGCTGTCATTATGTGCAAACCAAGTCACAGTGTCATTGCGAATCCTAGGCCTTACAGATGGTGCAATCTGTAACCCCAAATCATCACCTTCCAAAAGTGTTGCAATCAGGGACCCGCTGATCCAAATTGTACAGTCCAGCACCGCGCAGGCAGAAAAGGATGAGGTTTCATCAATATCCAATATTGTTTTGTTTGGTTGTTTGGCCAACTCCACCAGGAACGTCTAGTATACAAGCACTGCTCTGAAAGCCTTAGCAGCTCGGATGGCCTGTGATCAGCAGCGGGAGCGAACGATGGAAGGAAACTAAATAGCAGACTGCCAATAAATAAACAAAGAGGGCGGGGAAGGGACGAGAGGAAGGCGAATGCAAATACACCTGCTAGTGCAATCGCTCTCCAAACTGATGAGCAGGGAGAAAACGAGCAGGCAAGGGGAAGAGATGCCATTTTGGAACTAGGAAATTACTCTTATCGCCCAGGGCCAGTGGCAAATCCTGGCTCGAGTCCCGACGACTGCAGCTTCCCCTTCCCCAAGGGGCGCGACCGCGGCGCCGGGCCCGACCCCGTCCTCCGGCTCGGCCAGGCGTGCGGGGCTCGGCGGTGCGCCGCCTCGCCGCCGCCGCCGCCGGGGGAAGGAGCCGAGCAGCCCCGCGCCTCCCCGCCACGAAGGGTGAGCTGGCTTCTGCCAGCAGGCGCAGCCCCGCCCTGCGGCTCCGCCGGCGGCGCTCCCGCGGGAAGAACCTGCTTTTCCAGCTGGCGAGGGCGCAGCGCCTGCGCCCGGGGCCTGGGCCGGCCGGCGGAGGCTCGGGCCCCCCGCGGCCCCCACCTACCTTATCAGCGGCTCGGCGGGGGGGGGGGAGGCGGCGCCCTTCCTCGCCCGAGAGGGCTGCGCGCGCTGCTCAGAGGGGGCCCCGCATGGCGCCCGCGAGCGCCTCCCGTTCGCCCGCTGCTCCCCTGCCTTCCTCCGACTTGCCTGTCCTCCGCGAGCCGCCCGCTCCAGCGACCCTGGCGGCGGCGGCGGCGGCGGCTTCAGGTGCTCCGGCCGCCGCGAGCGTCACAATGCCTCCTCCTGGGAGGAGAACGGCCCGGCGCGGGGCGGAGCCTCGGCCGCCGCCATCCCTTTTCCCTCCGTTCCTGGAGAGCCGGAGAAGCGCGGCGCCTGCCCGCGACGCCCTGCCTTCAGCCAGAGCGGGGCAAGCGGGCTTCCTTCCGCCAGCGCGGTGCCCCTTGGCGCGGCTTGGCTTGGCTTGGCTTCCTGCGATTGTTCTTCCTTTGCCGGCAGCCGAGAGGAGGGCGCAGAGAGTTTGGAGCCGGTCCCGCACCCTTCCTCCTCCGCGTCCCGTTTTGCAAACCTTAGATCGTGAATGAAAGGCCCGAGGAGAGGAGCCTTTCCTCCTGGCACGCTCTGTCCCGGGAGCAGTTCTGCGCCTTCGGCCGCTGAATGACAGGCAAAAAATCGGGCAGGTAGAGCAGCGGCCAATCACGGGCTCTGTAGGCACACGTAGGTTCTCCGTCTCCCAGTTGAGCTCGTGGGTAAAAGGCGGAGGGGCCCATCAGGAAATACGAAGCTGGCAACCCTATTCATACGTTGCATGTTTCCTGTGCACCGAGGTAGGAAACCTTATTGCAGGCCACACCATAATTCCGCGAGGGAGGTGTTCGCTGGAGGGCACGATCTCAGCTTGGAGCGCACACACCCCTTTGGCAGCTGAACAGGCAAAAGTGCAACAGGTGGAGCGGCAGGCAGTGACTGACTGAACTCAGTGCTAGCGCCTTTGCTTCTCTCTTGAGCTCATGCCCGTTGTGGATCGCTTAGAAGCACAGGAAGGCAGACCGGAAAAAAGGTGGCAGCCCTGTGGGTGAAATACTCAGTCCCTATGTAGCAGGACCGGAGAAACCCCTTATTCAGGCCAGTGATTCAATTCCATTCAGCAAAAGGTCCCAAGAGGCCACAATCAGTGTTGTGCATTTGCGTGAAATAGAAGCCTCAAATTCCTGGATTACCAGATAAGCTGTTGCTGCCAGTAACTAAGCTTTAGGAGAGACATTTCAGAGTTTTAGGATACGGGAAACCTGCATAGTTGCAAGAAAGCATAACACCATGGGTGTTTGGGGAAGGCTGAATGGCCATCTGGGGAGGTCAAATTTAGGCCCAGGACTTGAGGTTAGGCACTCTGCTATATAGAATATACATAGCCCATATATGCTACTTCTCTTAACCCTCCCTTTGTTTCTGGAAAAATCCCTACTCCTGTTTAGGTGATAGGAAGGGCCCTGTTCTATTTTTTCTCTCAGCACTAAAGCTTAATTGCTCCAACATCATTTCGAATGTGCGATCTCCTATTATCGTTGACAAAAAGCAATAAGGTGTAACACAAATAGGAACTTGAGCCGGTTCAGTGCATTGGGTGCTTTCACATGTCTGGCAATTCTCATTTTGTAACGACATTGCTGCTACAAAAGACAACATTACCTTTATTTCCATTTCTTTTGTTTCTATCTGCATAGATACTTCCATTTCTTTATATCCCCTTCTCCAATACAACCAAACAAATATATGTACACAGTTGTAATTGCTCTTTCAAAATATACTGAGTAATCACACACACATCAATTTACCAATAAAATTACATTTCATCCTCACAAAGTTTTGTTCAAGGCTTGGTTCAAGGTTCAAATTATTACTATTTGAATAAGTTTTATTATTATTATTTTCTACAAACTAAAAAGAAAAAACTAAAAGCATCAATCATCAAAGACATCAGACCTACTGGGTCAGCCTCCCATTTTTTTTAATAGCAATTCATAGACATATTCAAATCTAAGCATAGTCCTGTTTCTCTAGCCAATAATAAAAATAGTTCCAAGTTTGATAGAAGTATGTATCCTCTTTCTCCTTCAGAGACAAAGTCAGCCTGTCCATTTTCAGCACAATCCAGAATCTTTTTTAAGATCAATTCGTCAATGGGTGGTTCTTCACTCTTCCAGTGTTGGGCAATCAAGGTTCAAATTGTGATAACGGTTTATGTCCTTGGGAATTTGTTGTTGAGTTTTGAGTTGTTGTCGAGGCAAAAGTTTTCTGTGGTGACAGAATCAGGTGACAGAAAGAATTCTTCCAATCTCCAGAACATCTCTCCAAAAAGAAAGTATATACACTGCATTCCCTTGATTACAATCATAAATATTTAAATAAATGTATCTCTCTCTTATCAAATGCCAAACCATGTTTTTATCATCCTGACAAGGCCATCTGAAAATCACTCCTCCTTCATAGCCCAAGGACAGAACAAATGCAGCCCTAAACTGTGTTAAACTTAGCTACAGTTATCACATTCTTAGAAAACAACACTAGTTCTTAAAGAGACAGTGTTTTACTAATAGAAACAGATGTCTTTTGCTGACTTCTAATAGGAACACTGACAGTTCAGATTCAATAAGGCCATGGATTTAGTGTTTATAAGCTAAAAACCTAACGTCATTTTCACTGAGAGTAAAACCTGAGGATCTTGCCCTTTATGAGGAGGAATATGAACTTGCTGAATTTCAGTGAACTAGAAAACTTCTGGTAAATCATTACATCCCAGAATATGTGATGCTAATGAGGCCTTATACTTATTTTGGTTCTAAGATTACTCTTGAGCTTGCTGATCCATCATCCCATGCCTCTACAGAGGAACGTGGACACAACATTTCGTAGGCAGCTGTAGAGAGTCATGTAGTAAAGTCTCTTAGTGTAAAAGACCTTCCATCCTTGGCACTGATAAATCAGGTTGTGGTAGATTCTCTCTCCTGAGGCTTTAGGCACTACTAGAATCTCAGGAGGTTGAGTCCAAGACCAGGCTTGTATCCACTATGAAAGCACCCCAGTAGCTGCTCTTCTGGGTCACAACAGCCCTGGCAGCCTCAGACGGGCTTGCAGAAGACGAGCGATGGAGGACGCATGAGGCGAGGATCTGACCCACACAATCCTACAGCCTTTCTCTAACTGATAAGTCCATCAGACAGACATACTCAGAGGCCCATCTAGCTAAACCTGGTTTGTTTCTGAGGGGAGGGGTGGAATGGAAGGCAAAATGGCCTCTGTTGTTCTTCCTGTCTTGCCTGGCTCTTGCTGGCAGGACATAGGATAGGTGGAGGGCTCCAGTCCCAGCACAAAGCACAGGATAGACAGGGCAGGATCACACAGAGGTGAAGGTTATCTTGGTGGCTTGATCTTGGTTGTCCTATTGTCAACAAGGTGCACTGTAGGCTTGGTTCAAGCATTTGAGAGTCTCCCAGACAGGTTGTCCCAGCAGATGCAGCCACACAGGAGCGGCACTGTCTGCGCTCGCACGATCACACTGAGGATATACGTTCACAGGTCTCAGTTTACAGAACAATGGCCCGTTCTTTCTGAACGTGTCCATAAGTGTCTTTTAAAGACAGCAACACTTTCTGGGCATTATCTGCAAAGGAGAATTCCTCCCTTCCAGAAGACACAGACCCATAGTCCTGCCCCAGGCTCCTCCATGTCTCCCGACAGAAGCTGCTTCATGGCTTTATCTATCCCAAGGAGGTCTAGCTCCTCCGAGGAGGACAATCCCTTCAGTGAGGGCATGACACTAGTAGTAAATCCATGTCTTGGGGGTGGATTAATAGTGAGGTTGTTTAACCCACAAACAACCCAGCATTCTGGGTTTACATGCCATGCCCAAGAAGCTGTGAAGAGACCAATCATAGGACCTGGTTCTCTACAGCTCATTCCCAACAGTCCATGAACTGTTTAACCCTTGTATTAGGTGCACATTTGTCAGAGTGTCCTAAAGGACCATGGAAGAAGTAGTGCCATATCAATACCATATTCAAGCAGTGGCATATCTAAGGGTACAAAATATTTGGCTGCTCAGATGCTGCTGTATGGCATCAACCTTAGCCAATATAACCTATGTTAAGGCATGATGGGAGCTGTAATCCAAAAACATCAGGAGGGATACATGTTCCCTGTCTGTGGTCTAATCCATGCAGCCCTTGTTTGAAAAGCTCTGTCCATTTAAATGTGTCCACAGAGAGTAGTTGGGTTCTTTTTTGGAGCAACCTTTGCCAGAATTTCCTAAAAAGGAAGCCATGAAATATAAATGTATTCTAGTTCACACTTCCTAAACATCACAGAATCACACACTTCTCTTAAACATATTATTATTGTTATATTACATTCAAAATCTGCTTTTTTTCCTCTTGTGAAAAACCCAAGCTGGCTTACATAGTCCTCTGCCACTCCATTTTATCTTCACCACAACAGCCCTGTGAGGTAGCTCAGTCT